GTATAGTTGGAAAATGCTCTTACATATTTACGTTTTCGATTACATGCTTTTTAAAAAATATTTTACATATGTGTGACAATTTTGTACAATGTGCGTCATTCTTATTGGCCTGACCTGTTGTCTGTTTTGGCAAGACACCCCTGTAAAATTAATTTCAAGCTCTTGATTTCCAGGAATTATCTATTTAAGAGTTAAATGTGTGAATTATATAAGGGATTTTTCAGACAAGTGACTATCTAGAAACATTGCTTGTGCAAAGCCCCCTCAGATGACGTTTGATGTTGCACACAGAGAGTATCATCAGTGAGGAGTGGCGGGTTTTTATGGTCAATTTGGAAGCCTGACACACAGCAATTTTGTTGTTTTTTTAATGCACTTGTAATCGAGTTCTAAATGTCAGCTGCCGTACGATTTTCATTTATTTCCACCCTCCCTCGGCTCGCTCTGTTTTTTAACTATTACCTTTCATGGTAAAGTGGGGGTAATGAAAGGGTGCTGGGTAATAAGAAGAAGTGTCACAATGCTGGAATCGTCATTCTGAGCCCATCTGCTTAGCGTTACGCCTGCTGTCAGTAGCCAGGAATCCAGACCATAATTGCTCTGCCTCTGAATAATTGAAAAAAGACGAGAAGGTAAATCCCAGAGGTTGGGAGGTGAGAAAGATTGATGATGCAGCGTTCAACACTCTCAGGTTGGGAAGTGTACGGGGTCAAAGACGACATGATCAGGCTCTTGCAAGAAGATTAACACGCCACCACACATATCCCACACACGTTGTGGATGAAGAACCACCACCAAGCACACTCTGGCTTATGTCTTTCTCATAGATGCTGCTTGGAGCTTTTTGGGTTTCCATGTGTGTGTGTGTGTGTGGTTCTGTGTGTGTTTATAATGACAGGCAGCGTTGCATTGCGTGCCAGTTATTTGGAGACATGGTGATGTTGTGCGAATTTGGGAGTCAGAAAGGACCTTCTCTCTCATTTGAAAACTATCGCCCGTTTCTCTGTCATGCAAAGTCATGCGAAGGCAGATTGAATTAGACCGAGGAGAGGTGACGAAGTGGAAGCCCCACCAGTGTGAGTTTGTATCGTGCAGTCAAATTGGTATAAAAACTAATGACACAACGTTAAATAAAAGCTGCTTAGAGTGTTATGACTGGAATGTTTTAAGAGCATTATGAGTAATCACTTTCATCTCATTTTGTGTTATTTTGAACTAACGTGCGGCTGGTAAAGCTCTGTGTATCAGGGAGCATTGCTCCAATTGGAGCATTTAAGGATCATATGCATTAGCGACCATATATCTGCAAACAGAATTTTATGGTGTGAACCTGCTGACAAATCACAGCTTTATTTTTGTCCTCTTTGACATTTTACTCAGACAGTGTTTGATGTTTGCGTTTATGTACCCAAATGCCAGCTAGTACATGAGCACACATACGTTTTCTCGTGCGGTGAGCTCAGATCTCCACAGGAGATGCTATATTTGTTCACGTAGGGGTGGAGGGCAGACACTGCAGAGCATTACCAGCGGGTCCCCAAGGTCATTACCACTGCCATAGCGTCTGGGCGCCCTGGGAAGTGGCAAGAATTGATTAATGAGAATGCTCGGAGCACCAAGTGGGGAGGAACCGGCACTTGCAAGAGAGCAGTGATGTAGTTGTTATGGGAAAATGGAGCTATAGATAGTTTGAATCCCTGCAGAGTTCGACCCACTACCTTTTGGTAATGATGGGGACATCGTAAGATGGATTCTCGTTGTAATCTGACCTCCTTACACAAACGCAGCTGCCTTTTTTCCATAAATATCATTTTATGAGTTTGAAGGACACACACACACACTCACTCCCTGTTAAACCGTATTTAATTTTTGGAGCTCAGGCCAGAGTTAAACAAGTTAGCTGAACAATACAACTACACCGTGGGACACTGTGCTCTGATTGGTAAGAAGAGCGTGACTTGATTGGTTGTTAAGATGCAGGTCTGTGGTCTGGGTTTTGCTGAGCAAAGCCCTGCGTTTTTATGTCAGAGTTCAGCTGTTCTATTTTTTTCTGAACTACTCAAAAAGGCACTGCTGTCTCACTGCCACCTAATGAAAGCAGAAGTTGTCATGCTGTGAATAGAGAAAAAACTCATGAGAAACTGCTGTTCCTAGGTTTTTTATAGCCTCACTGTATGACACTCTAGGTGTGATCTGCCACAAAGTTACTTTATGAGAGCATATTCAGAAATGTATACCCCTTGACATTTATTTTCCGTGAAAAAGGAGAGGAAAAAGATTAGATGATTGCACAGTTACAGGTGTGTGTATACAAATATAGTTTTAGGTCCCTGTTGTCTTCATCTCATGTACTGATCAAATACACCATGGACCATGACTAGAATGAAGTTTGAAACCTTTAAGTCTGATATAATGAACAGGCTGCCGCAGGTGGAGAAAACTAGCTCTTGTCATTTGATTTACAAAGTAGTCCATGTAAAACATATTTTCAATTATGCACTTAACTGGATTTTGAAGCATTGGAAATTCGGTTTATGAATGGGTTCTTAAAAAAAATCAGCAGAAATGGACAAATTAGTTTGGAAAAGGTTCGACTGACTATCTTGTCCAGCTAGATTATATTGCATGAGAAGCAGATGCACATCTGTGTGAACAGATGGACACTCAAGCACCATTTCCCCAGTCAAGACTGTGAATGTAGTGCACTGTCCTTTAAATAGCCAATCCAGCCCAGGTTTACACACTCCCTCCCCAAAGGCTCAGAGACAGAGGGATCTCAGACCCACTCAGAGAGAAACTGATGAACCTGGCCTAAAACGTAAAAACTGTGCTAAAGCTAAATGTGACTGTACAGACTGCGTAATAGGATTTTGACAGTCTCTGTTATTTCTGCGTAGCATTTCAACTCTTGGTGGGTTGAAAAAAAGAGCATGTTCTTACAACACTTCTTACAATAGTAAAGCTCCCATAACTTTTTTTAGTTTGTTCGAAAAAGCCACACAGTGACTCGGTGTGTATTGCATACATCTTGTAAAACCAATATTACACCTTCCTGCCATGGAGACTAAACCTTAAGGCAGACATTTCATCTCACTCAGCCACAAGATGACCTGATCATCAACCACTTAAATTATGTCATTCTGTGACATAAATTGCCAAAGAAATGGTCACACTTCATGTTGTGGCTTTTATTGTATAATTGACAACCTCAAATGTATAATTCAAAGTATTTTCCCTTTCTAATTTATTCACGTATTCCATGTTGTAAAGAAGCAACTGATCGAGTTTTGGCATAAAGTAAAAAGGTTGCAAATATTTTAAAGACTGGTGAAGAAATGCACGAGAGGCACAACTAGTCTGGTTTTGTTTTTTTCTCCTTTGAAAAACTGCAGGTTTCTGTTTTTAAAGCCTTGTGGCTGAAAGGATAAGCCAACCTTTTGTTCTGAGGACACAGTACATCTCCTGCTAGCTTTTCACCCTGTCATGTTGCCCCTACACCCACAACCCATTTTCCAAATTCCTTAGCTGATGTATTTGAAGAGACAGAGAGACTCTGTGCCTAGGGAAACTCAGCTTGGTGGAATTGACAGTGCAGGGAACACTTTCCTGTCAAAGGCAAAGACAGTCAATTTTCCCTGTCTTATCTTCTTCTTTCTAATGGTAACACATTTGTCCTTTTTAATGGTTTGGCTTCTTGGCTTATTAGTGGGACTGTAGTAAAGAACTGCAAGCCTTTCATTATGTCACTTCTATTTATGTGCTTTTTTTTTTTTCTTAAACCCAGACTGGAAGAATGACAGAGCAGGACAGCTAACCATAAAGAAAACACAAGCCCACTAAGAGGAATGGCTCATCCTTCGAAAACAAAACACTCTCAGGGAAAAACAATTTTCATTGTTTTGATTTGGGTCTAGAGTCACCGTGAGTCAGAGTTCCCACAATGCCTTTTTTTCACGTGTGGGCTGATACGGAAGCAAAAGCGACCCTTGAAGTGGCCTGTTTGTATTGTGTGCTGCTTCTCTGTGAAATGTGATATTCTGATATCTAAGCATGTCCGCATAATTTATTTTTCCTGCTGTGAGATGTGCAGGTAGTCGGAGGAGGCAGGTTGTAATCAGTGGAGGCAGAGCTGTGACTCACATGGTGCACGCCAGGTGCTGGAGCGCTCCTCTGAAAAAACAACAGCACGTAGTTTGGCACAAGAACCAGGTCGGATTCATGAACAGAAAAATCAGCTTTATGTCGTACGTAAAGTTTCTTTGTCATTGAAAACATGGAAAATTATCATGATAGTTAAAAAATAAGTAACAATAATCTGTGTTATTGATCACAGGTGGTTCGTTTCAGTTGAATATGTTTAGTGGACCATGTTCTGGGTTGCTTTTGCCCCAGACAATGTCTCATTTAAAAAAAATGTAATGGATAAAGAAAGGATCAAATCTACAGTAGATGATGCAATAAATACAGTTCCTTATGTATCACATTCAGTTTGACTAAGAGTGTGATCTTTTCCTCTGTGGATAAGGGTTTCTAACCTGCAGCCTTGGATGAGACTTGCCAGTAGGTCACAGCGCCATCTCCATGGTTGAGTAACTTGTGTCAAACATAGAAAAAAAAGGGCCTTTTTAGCCGGCCAAGACAATACCCTTCCCCAAAGCTACTTGCAAATGCCTTCTACCGGAAAACAAGGACTTCCCCCAAGCTGACATCTCCCATGACCCATTTTCATTATGGCTAGCTTAATGGCTGGTGACTAGCTGCTGGGCGCTAAATGGAGAGAGGACAATACGCATATGAGATTGCGCACAATGCCATGATAGTAGTTGGATTAGAGGCTGACCCAAACTAAACGACTGCTAATAGTAAAAAATGAGACTCGTAGTCTCGACCACTCCATGCTCAGTGAGGGAGATTAGAAACTGAGTAAAGTGCATGTGATATGCAACAGGGAAAGGAAGTTTGCAATATTCTCAGGAGATTAGCGGATCACTGCAGTGACAATGGCCTCAGGTCCCACGGGAGCAGTTGAGCTGTGTGAGAGGGTGAAGAAGAGGAAGTGTGGGGCCGAGCGCCGGGAGATGCTTCCAAGAAACAGTAACACTTAACCACAAGATTTAGCTGGGAGCACTCTGCTGGAGGTCCCAGTTGAACCATTAAACACACAAGCATGCAAAAAAAAATAGGATTCAGTGCATCTTATGCAGTGGAAAGTCCCAAATGCTGCAGAAAAATGCTTCCACGTCACCAACCATGCATTACTACCCTAAGGATTCACAAATTTGGCTCAGTATCCGCCCCCTTATCCAAGCTTGTGACATTTGCAGAGAAGACCTTAAGGAGGGCGGTTTAATGCGGGAGGGGCGCCGACGAAGGGGTGGGGTGCTTCTCCTCTCTTTCCTTCTCTCATTAGAATTCCCTCATCAGTCTTTCCCACAGTGCTTGGGCTTGACATGTCAGGGTTTATTAATCGCTCCAGGAAATATTATTGACCTGGGCCCTCTGCACCCTCTCTCCTTACCGCAGTCACTGTCTCCGCTCTGCTGCCTCCACATTCCTCCGGTGTCCTGGCTGGACACCGAACAGGACACTGCGGCAGAGTGGAAGCCTCAACAGTGTCTTCATTGACTATACACTTGGCCCGGGCTTTCTTTTTCGCTGCAGCTGCAAAGTAGCACACAAACACTCACACACACCTTCAGCCAGGAGGAAGGAAAAACCCAGTCTGCTGCGCTTCGTTTAGGTTTGATATCAGGACTGTGTGGGGGCGCTTTTGATTAGATTCCAACTGTTTGGAGTGCCACGGTGAGAGAAAAAAGGGGGATCCTCAAATCTGCCAACAACTTATTGGTTTTTAAATGCTACCAGCAGCTTAAATGATGCGCTTAAATCGATGAATTGGTAAAGCCAGACTGAATGCTTAAATCAGTATTGATCAAATCCTCCTTTAACCTCCCACCTCTGTAGTCCTCTACCAGAATAAAATCAGAAGATGATCACAGATGTTCAGCACCTGGTTGTCTGTGTAGAAGAGGCCCTGGATAGACTCATGGTGCTGAAGGTGTTGCTGCGCATGTATGTCTTTATGTGCATGTGAGGGGATTGTTTGTGCTGGTGTGATGTTATCAAAGGGAAGGGGAAAGGTAGTAAAGTGCCAAAAAAAAATAGGGCATAGCCTATAAGTAGTGAAGTAGAGTTTAAACATTTACCAGTTGACATCTAATAGGAATACCCAGTGTGTTGCCAACAAATTGTGCGGTAAAAACTTGCATAAGTAATATCCTAGAAATCCCCACAGTGTTTTTTCAGTGCATTGTTACGGAAATAGCTGAAGGAAAACAGCTTGTATCAGCTACATCAGTGGAATTTAGTGGAAGTGGAAGTTCTCTTTCCTTAGTGTGAAATAAACTCGAAGGTAAAATTGTTTGGGGCAATCAATGGAGTTCACAAAATCACAAAGTAAGCCATTTTGTTTTTTTGATGAAATTAATTATTAAGTATTCAGCTAAAACTTGTTTTTCCTCACTCTGGTTCACTGTCTGCAATTTTCCTCAATGGGTTGGATGTTTCTGTGACTAGCTTTGTTGTTCAAAGGTTAAGGTATTGTGCCACCGTGTGGACATGTTTGACATCGCATGTTAGTTTTATGACGAAACTAATGAATAACCAGGATATGAGTGTGTTGTTCCATTGTGTCCTCATGAACTTTGCACCGATGAGCACATTCCTGAAAGCAGCCGTCATGAATAAAGGAATATGCCTCAGATCTGTCAAGAGCTGCTGTGTGCCGTCAATCGTGCTCTCATGAATCTTGATTGCAGACATGTCTGCCGCTAAATTTAATATCCGTGTTCATTTTGTTTTCTTCCAGTCACAATGGTCCCCCTTCTGTTTTTGGTAGCAACCACAACAACATCCAATTCCACCCGTAATGGCAACAATACAAGAGGTAAGAATGATAACAAGGGCCAATCTACTTTCACATGTGAGACTGAATGGCACACACAGGAATGCACAATAACAACTAAATCCCATCCCGACCCACTGCAGTCATCACTTTTCCATAATATATGATCATGTATCTTGTGCTGTGCAGGCATCTGCTTGATAATAGCCTTTTGCACAGCTTTGTCATTAACAGATCATGTTGGACCTCGGACAGTAATTTACAGCTTATTGCACACTTTTATAAACAGGCCTAATAGATAACCGTCTCTTGGCCCAGCCTCTAATTTTCTTAGATACACCAAGATGAAATAGCCCGATGCTTATCTGTGTTGACAAAATACTGCTTGGGCCAGTTATTAACTCAGCTCTGTGGCGGAGAGAGAACACAGGTGGTGTTTTGTATAGCAAGTATTTATTTGATCGGTTCATGCAAAATTTGCAAGAATCCAACATGTCTGCAGCGGAGCATTCAGACACACAGGCTCATATACCGTCGGCCTTGCCCCTTTCTTCCTGCTTCTTTGTTGGTGGTGCTCCCTGACCTCCGGCTCTGCCTCTCCTTCTTCCTCAGAAGATGTTTCATCCCCCAGCCCCTATATCCTTCCCACTGTGCTGGTTCTGTTCCTGCTGCTGCTCATCATCGGACTCCTGGCGTGGTACTTCCTCAGGTAAAAAACAAAACAAAAAAAACAAAAAAAGACTAACGGGCCTCACCTTTCTCCCTCCCAGCCCTGGCGTTGAGCCATGCTCTGGGGCAGAGCCGAGGGTGACAAACACTTCCTCCTTTTAGTCATTGAGGCGGAGCCCGGTCAGGAAGTTCTGCAGAGCTGACTCTCTCACATGCTCAGTGAGAACAGTGTAGGCTGAGGCGGCGGAGTTACTCAGGCAACTTTGGAGGGTGAAGGACAAGTTCTCGGCTGCATTTTGACTTTAACTTTTGCCTTTTTTAAGATATCAGCTAATGAGTAAAATTAGCTTCGGCAGCTTCAGATGGTAGGATGAATACAGACCTTTATTTGTTTCTCTATATGTATAAACATGTACTTGTACATATGCTCTTACATTCTAATCATGTGTCTTATTATACAGGTTAAAAAACCAGAGAAAGGCCGTCGTCACAACAGTTGACAAGAAAATACCAAATGGCATCCTGGAGGAACAAGGTAAGTTTGTTAGGTGGACATTTGCGGGTTTGAGCAGTGAGGCAGTTTGTTTACTTCTTGTCAAGCTGGTCAAAAAGAGCACAGAAATGAAGGCGGCGTAACAGAAACTAAATAAAAGCGACAGAACAGATGCATGTCACAAAAAGACGAAGGGTTTATATTCATCACCACCTTCAGACAGCTCCGCTGGTGCTTCTGAGTTGTGGGAGACTTCCTGTGGTTTGTATGAAGAGCAGCGATATGTGCTTTCTTCACCGCCATTTGTTGCTTTTGATTTATTATACACTACTGGTGCAAAGATCAGAGCAGTTGCTATAGGTGATTTTCATCTGCCTCTTTTTGAATTGGAGCTGATTTTTGTGAAGTTTAACAGCTGCTATCAAACTATACAGAAAGTGTCTGTAATGAAGATCTGTCAACATTCTTTAGGAAGTATTTTGTTTTCTGACTTAATAAAAGAATGTCAAGGTCCTTGTAGGTTTTAAAATTAACATCAGCAGAAAGAAACTAACTTGAACATATGGTTATAAACAAATAATAGAAGCAAAGTCCAAATGGTGTTGTTACAGGTTTTTCTAGTTTGTTTTTGTCAGACAGGGAAATAACTTATGGTCAGAATAAACCTTGTTTTAGGAAGCCTTTCATAGATGAGTTGAAGATTTGTAATACAGTGACCTTTTTAAAAATAATCATTGTGTGTTGTATTTCATGTCTTTGATATGTGTATTGTGTTTTAGAGCTTGGATACAGTTCTGAGTCCTTATACACCATTGTACCAGCAGGTCAGGTACTCATGGTGGAAGTATGAGTAAATCAAAAATACTAACACTCTGTCAGTACATTTTCAGTGTGTATAGTTTCCAAGTTGTGGATGTAGACAGAATGCTGATCTCAGGTGCAATAATTAGCTCTTTCCTGTTTTCTTTTTAACATCTGTTGATCTTTGACAATCTTTGACATCTGCGGTTTAGGCAGAGACAAACCAAAAGTTGATCAGAAAATAATCAGTTTTATGGTCCTTTACCTTTTTCCCCAGTAAAAACTCATCTTAAATAACTAAATTATTTGATTGTATGTTTTAGTGATCCCCAACCAAACATGTTTCTGTCACAAGGGAACTGAAATACCACTAAAACTCTTTAGAAAACATACAATGTAGGACAAAATTATTGAACCAGCTGCCCTCAAATTAGAGAGACAGCTGATGACTGAATAATGAACAGTGAGCGAAATGTCATGGAGAAATACTGTAAAGTGCTCAAATAAAATTTGATTTACCTGAATAAGGTTAAGTTATTACTAAGATGAATATGTAATAGCTGAAAGCATTAGATAATGAGTAAAATAACAGAGAAAACAGTAGGTTAAAAAATATTCGATTGAAATTTAAGTTCATAATGTAGGACTTTTGAATTGTTCAAACTTGTATTATCTGGTTGAAATGAATCATGCATTTTTATTAAATAGCTAAAAGAAATTGTAGCAATGGATCACTTGAAATAAATAAATGTAGGGTGCATATGTCCTGGAATAGCTATGGAGTGAGATGACACTGATACATAAAAGTGTTGAAAAACTGAATAACTGAAGGGGATAGCTGAAAAAAATACTTTAGCTCATGATACATAAAATAAAAAGGTTGAAATAGCAAAAGAAAAACATTGGTTGAAATCAGAAATGATTTTCAAATAAATATCTTCTATTAATGACTCATTTGTATCATGTGCTCCAGCAGAGCTGAGTCATAAACACCCACTTAATGGAAGAGATACTGGGTTCACTACTGGGTTCACATGAACGGCTGTTTGGGTTTAGATCAAAACAAGGTTGGGAACCACTGTGTGAATTCAAGCTAATCCTGTTTGCATTTATTTAATTGAGCTACTAATTTTCATGCATCCACCCCAATGCGTACAATTGTACAATTGTCTAGTCGAGCTGATTGAATAAAATCAAACCAGTCAACATGAATTAATAAACCAAAACAGCCAGATCAGTTAAAAAGAGAGGCTATATGAATCTATTTTTTTTCTCTCCCACAGAACAACAGACGGTGGTCCTTTTGCCAAGATCTCCCTCAGCCTCAAAGACCTACTTTCCTTTACCAGTTGATCAGCTCGAGGAGGAGTACAGACTCCGATCCGCTGATGATGGCAAGCTCTTCAGGGAGGAGTACAATGTAAGCGCCCCCTCTATTTTCTGTCTAGGTGTCAGAGTAACAGGATGTCGAAAGGCAGCCGTCTGTACTCGACATAAGTAGTGTTTACATCAGGTAACCGATGTATCGCATCCATACTCTACAATCTGTATGATTAAGAATATATAACATTGATTAAAATTGTCATTTGTTGTTAAAATACTAACGCAGTACTTATTGAAGCTAGTTTTCTGCTTTTGAAGAGACACTGAAGAGTTAAATAAAGATTTTTTTCTTCTGATGTACAGTTTATCTTTGGTTTTGGCAACAAAACTCATCTATGATACTTGGCCAGAATGGGTTTTCCCAAAATCTCTACGTGCAGCATGTTCATGAGGAGGATGTTTAAACCATGACTTATGTGTGTATTTCTGTTAAGGAACATGTGTCACATGGTCAGTGACACATAGTGTTACCATACACACCCGCATGAAGGAAAAGTACCCTTCTGGCTATTTGTGCCAACTATTGAGGATCTGAGTTAGAATATAAGCCATGACTCACGGTTGGTGTAAAACAGAAATAGGATTAAAAAAAAATTTGCACAGTTTGTCAGGACAGACAGCAGAAGTGGAAGTTCTCTGATTTTTAATGGAGGACTGTTTGCTGGGGTTAGCATAGGAAGTGCCTCCATGCAGCAGACACAATGTGCCAGCGGTAGGCTGCTGACAGCCCTTTTCTTCTTACGTAAGGCCAAATTAAACCTGCACATTTGTTTTGTAGTCTTTGCCAGGGGGTAATGCCCAAGGGACCTACGAGGAGGCCAGCAAGGATGAAAACAAGGAGAAGAACAGATACCCTAACATCCTTCCCTGTGAGTGTACTTTCTGTTATGTGGAACCCTTTTGAGTCGAACCTTAGTTTCAGTTTCCTGTTTCTGTGTATACATGCTGTTGTTACAGTTGGCTAAAAACTTTTATCACATACACACATCGATATTGACTGTTTCCTCTTTAGTCTTCTTTAATTATGCCTCAGTTTCCTGTGTGAGTTGCTTGTAATTGTGTTCTTAAATCGATGGGTGTGTGCCTTTAATAATACAAGTACAGCCAGGCTTCCACTTCTCTAAATACTAAGCTACCGTTTTATGATTCCTACCTCTCATATATACATTAGAATACATACATTACATCCATTAGAATCATTTAGTGTTGAAGAAATTATACATGCTTGTTGTCAAGTTAACGCTAGATTTTTCTGTTGTATTTTCATAAACAGATGATCATTCCAGAGTGGTGCTGACTCGGCTGGATGGGAGTCCCTGTTCAGACTATGTTAATGCATCTTATGTTGATGTAAGAGTTTCATTTTTTTAATATTCTTAATTTATAAAATGGTAAAATTACCTGCAAAAAAATAGCAAATGCTGGTTATATTTTTTCCCAATCTATAGTTCCATTGTTTTTTTTAAAGTATTTGATTAAAGGCATCTTTGGTTGTACTCAGCTGAGTATATTTTTTTTAAAGAAAGGTTTAACCTATATGGTTGCTTGCCAAACATTCCTCAGTGTACATCCATGTTTTCCCCCCCATCAGGGTTACACGGAAAAGAACAAATTCATAGCTGCACAAGGTAGGCTGAACAATATTTTTAGAAAATAAAAACCGTAGATTATTTTCATACCCTGTCAAAAATTGGATGTCTGTTTTTCCTCTGTCTTCCAGGTCCAAAGGAAGACACCGTGGCAGATTTTTGGAGGATGATATGGGAGCAGAAAGTAGCAACTGTCGTTATGCTGACAAATCTGAAAGAAAGAAAAGAGGTGAGGGATTTTTGGGGGGGGTCTGAGATTTTGCTGTGCTTGGAAAGGTTTTCTTTACATCCTAAAACAAGGAGAGCTGGGATGTAACTGTTTTAAAATAATAAATAGATCATTTGAAATAAGATTGTATCAGTTGCGGTCAAAGGTGATTGCATAGTTTCATTTAAGCAACTCATTTTATACCTGAGACCCTAAAGTCTGCATCTGTGCAGAAATGGCAGTCTCTATAGTGAATGAGAACTCCAAACAGGAAGAAAATGAGAACAGTGAAAAAGATCGATAAGACGAGAACTGGCGAGGCTTTAAATCAGCTTCTCGATGAGCTGAAATCAATGGCTGTATAATGAGTAAAAAAGTCCTTTAAGGCAGTATCATGATCAGCTAGCAATACTGGATATTGACTGGTTCCACCTTTCTCCCTTCCTTTAGTCTGAACCGATTGGCTGTAAGCGAATGCACCATTAGTAAAGTTCACCTTTACTAAATCATGCATTTTTCACTCCCTTTATACAGAAAGAACGTGCTTGAGTAAATGCTTTTGAGACATTTGATGAATGATTGTATTGTTTTTTCTGCAGGATAAGTGCTACCAGTACTGGCCAGACCAGGGATGTTGGACCTATGGGAATGTGAGGGTGGCAGTTGAAGACTTCACTGTTCTGGTGGACTACACAATACGCAAGTTCTGCGTACAATATGTACGTTTCTAGCTGTTCTTGTGCATTTTTTCTTATTTTATTCGAACAGATCTGTTTATCTCAATATCTCACTTAAAACTGAATAATGCTCGTTGTGTCTGTACACAGCAAGCCAGCGATGCTGCCAAGACTCCCCGTCTGGTCACCCAGCTTCATTTCACCAGCTGGCCTGACTTTGGAGTTCCCTTCTCCCCCATTGGTATGCTCAAGTTCCTCAAAAAGGTCAAGGCAGTGAATCCACCTTTCGCTGGGCCTATTGTGGTCCACTGCAGGTACCAAAGAACTGAGCAAATGGGAAAAAAATGTGTTTATATCAGTTAACTTTAAGCCTCTGGAGTGTGCAAACATGTATAATTTAAGATTATCTTGTTAGCTTGTTTTGAGTGTCTGGGTTCCAAACTATGTTCCACTTGTCAAACTGCGTTAATAGTACAGTGAAGTAAAACCAGACATCCAATAAATGATTTACACTGATTGTTTGGTGCAGAAAGACATGGCAAACAAGCAGGCTATTCTAAAGAAATTCAAGTGGATTTTTTTAGCGGCACCAAAAAAAAAGAAGGGTAAAATCATACCCTAAACCCTCGTGGCTGTATAGTGACTATGGCAAATATGTACCTTGTTAGGCACAGATGCTCCATTGTTTCCGCCCTGCTTTTCAATTTGCATGCGAGTTTCTGCTGAGAAATGTGGTTCACTCAGTGTGCGGCTTGTTTTGTGTCTCCAGCGCTGGTGTAGGGAGGACGGGAACCTTCATTGTTATCGATGCCATGATTGACATGACGCATGCTGAGAAGAAGGTCGATGTGTTTGGATTTGTCTCCAAGATCCGAGAGCAGCGCTCACAGCTCATCCAGACAGATGTGAGTAGGAGACAGATTATGCCACTCGGTGCAGCAATAATACAATACGATTAATACAATAAATGTTTTCTGAAATCATTCTCATATGTGTGCAGACATGGTGTATGATACGTCTGTGTGTTCTCTCCCCTCAGATGCAGTACTCATTCATCTACCAAGCCTTGCTTGAATACTACCTCTACGGAGACACGGAGCTGGACGTGTCGTCTCTAGAAGGACATCTGCACAAACTGCACAACACATTTGCCACAGGGGACCGGGTTGGTCTGGAGGAAGAATTTAAAGTAAGAACTTTCAAGGTGTTACCATTTTAAAGAAAGACATACAAAAGTTCTGGCAAGCAATTTGTTTCGTCAGCGGGGCCTTTTTCATATCATTACCTCTTTAAACCTACTATGAAAGTATTCCACTAGGGGGCGCACAAGGAAGAATTAGAAAAGTAACAGATCTTTCACCAGCCATTTCCACAAGCATATAAAATGCAAACTTTACTGTTGATACCTGATGATACATTCTAAAACTCCTAATGATAATGTATGGAAATAGTACAGCCCATAGAGGCTAATCCTTTGCTTAAATACTCAGTGTAACACTTATTTAAATCATTACGTTATCAATTATTTAATATATATTGACTCTCCTAAACTGTTCTCACCACAAGAAATAAACAATTTAATACAAAAGAATACCAGCCATCATGATCTATAAGGTTAATGTGTTCAACTGTTTTTTTTTGTTTGTTGTTTTATTTAGTTAAACTGGAAACTGTAAGCAAAAGGGACAGTTCATTTTTCACTATCATAACCTTTGTTTTTTGTGTACACTTTCTGCTTAGAAACTGACTAATATGCGAATAATGAAGGAGAATATGAGAACGGGGAACCTCCCAGCCAACATGAAGAAGAACAGAGTTCTGCAAATTATTCCATGTGAGAAGCAAAAAAAAAAACTTACAATCTGCATTATACTTACCCATGTTAACACCTGATTTTAGAATTTGAATACTGCTTTCAAAATAAAAAAGCCTGAAACAATGACAAATTCTAAACTCTGTAGTGTTAATTCTTCCCATAGAAGGTTTACAATTTATATTTGATATTCCTACATGTGCTGCTCTAATACACTCCCTCTCTCTTTAGATGACTTCAACAGAGTTATTCTCTCCATGAGACGAGGTCAAGAGTTCACAGACTACATAAATGCATCCTTTATAGATGTAAGCTCATTAATGCCTTTATTCAGTTTTAGTGTATACAATTATAACTGTAACTGGTTGCTAATTTAACTTTTTTTGTGTGCTTTTTCTTAGGGATACAGACAGAAGGATTACTTCATTGCTACACAAGGACCTCTACTTCACACTGTGGAGGATTTCTGGAGAATGGTGTGGGAGTGGAAATGTCACTCCATTGTCATGCTCACTGAACTCCAGGAGAGGGAGCAGGTGAGCTTCAAAAGCTGGTCTCCAAATAAAGAAACATTAATTTCCACTCCGATTGTCTCCCTTTGTGCAGTATTTTCTATTTAGTGCCAAAACAACTACAGTGGTTCAATCCGAAAGATTCAAACTGCAGGTTTTATTTAACTTGTAGCAAACAATATGTCTTTCATTGTTGCAGGACAAATGTTGCCAATACTGGCCCACAGAGGACTCCATTACCTATGGAGATTACACCGTAGAGCTAAAGGGAGACACGTTGTGTGAAACCTTCAGCCTACGAGACTTGGTACTCACCTTTGTTCCGGTAAGAAAATGAACCGAGCACTTTTACACACAGGCGAATGCAAAGTGACCTTCCAGCATCATTTTCAGCTATCAGGGCAAACAGCTAATTATACCACCAATACAGGTATTCTAGTCAGCATTTACTGCTATTATTAATTCATGTGTATACCATCTGCTCAGCACAAACTCATTTACAGGAAAGTAAGCAATAAACACAAACCACCACAGATACCTGCCCTAAACTCTCACTAACCCAAGCCAGCACATCCAAGGACACATACACGATAAAGATAGATAACCGCACACACTAAGACCCAGAGAAATGTTGCCAGAATGATGTACAACAGGGGAGTATTGTCAGATAGCTTTGTAATTTATATACGCACAGATGGATACAGGAATGAACAAACAGAAGAAGTGGAAAATTAAAAAGGAATGAAAATCGCATTTAGGTTGTCAGAAAGGGCCCAGCTGTGGTTTTAGGCTCCAAAGGGAGGCGTCAATATGTATTTCAGCTCTCGGTTTGGGGGGGTTATTAAAAATCTTCCCTAAAGAAGTCTTCCGTGTCCCTAAATGGTTCTACAAAAATAAAAAAAGACAAACAAGCAGGAGAAAGACTATGGAAACTCAAAGTAAGGAACTTTAAAACGATTTACTTAGTGTTGGGTAATTAAATCCACCGTCACCCAGAAGGTCATATTCAAATGGATGACTATATGTATGAAATAATCATATCAGGAAAGAACAACATATTTTCAAAATTAGATTGGATGTTTTTGAGGAATTTATAAAAGGTTTACAGCCTTCAGTTCTATACAAAATTCATTGCAAAAGAGCTTCCCATGACTTTAGGAGACTTTTTGCCTTGTTAAAGCTACACAGAATGTAACATAATAATCTTCAAGAAAGAACAAAAAAACAACGTGAGAGCATAAAACTCCCTCGGCTGCAAGAGAAAATATGGTGGGCAGGATGTGTTTAGGGTTATTAAGTGGGAGCATCCCATCTCGTTTTTCATTTAATTCGACCCACTTTACCTTTCAGAGGCATAGCAGCTAAGTCCTGCCTTCTAAAATATCTCCCATCAGCCCACCACTTATTTACTGCACCTGCCATTAGGCCTTCGTATACGACTAATAAATCATATTTGAGAGATATAATCTCGCATCTACCTGTGCATTTCCTCTCAAAGGAGAAGCAGACAAGGGTGATCAGGCACTTCCACTTCCACGGCTGGCCAGAGATTGGAATCCCGGCTGAGGGGAAAGGCATGATCGACATCATAGCCTCGGTGCAGAGACAGCAGCAGCAATCTGGGAACCATCCTATAGTCGTACACTGCAGGTGGGTGTCAAACGGCTATATGTGTATGAGGTAAATATGTGAAAGAAAGGCTCACACTTGAATAAACGACGCATTTTGTGTTGCAGCGCTGGTGCAGGGCGAACCGGTACGTTCATTGCACTGAGCAATATCTTAGAGCGAGTCAAAGCAGAGGGCCTGCTGGACGTGTTCCAAACTGTGAAAAGTTTACGCATGCAGAGGCCTCATATGGTCCAAACTGTGGTAAGTCGCTAGCAGCGGAGGAGGATCCGATCTAAGACAATTCTTAAGGGTTTCGCGATTATTTTTGAAGAGGTTATTTCCAGTCGGTTTCTAATCCCTCTCCTTTTCCCCACAGGAACAATATGACTTCTGCTACAGGGTGGTACAAGACTTTGTTGACATTTTCTCAGACTATGCCAATTTTAAATAAAAATCTGCCTTAAACATGGTTTTTAATGTTATCTTCTAAAGCATATGTACAGCATATGTCAGTTTTGCGTTTCGTTAACTTGTTCAAATGATATTCTATTTTGCTATGCACTTGTCCTGCCATTAACTGAAGCTCCTTTCTTGCTGTAATATGCGGTATGTCTGAGGATGGAAAATGTAAATTAAACAAGCTAGATTAATAATGCATATTTCATAAGTATGTTAATTATTTTGTCATGAATTGTAGCTTCAAAGTTGGCCTCTGAAACCTGTTTTGTTGTATAATATTGTATTTTAAGTGTTTAAGTGTATTATTTTGGATGAAATTTTTTTAAAGGTTGTACTAACTGTAAATGTATTTATGTATTGACAGTGTCATTCCTTTCTTGTGTTTAGAGAACATGATGTTAATGTAAGTCTCTTTTTGTTAACTGTAAGAAAACATCTTTTTTTTATGAGATACTAGAGTCCCCACTTCTCTCACAAAACAAGCTCAACATGAATGTGATGATATCTGACACGGATTTAGTTAGCAAAAGAATGGAACATTTTCAGCTATAATGTCAAGAACATAAAGTTATGCAACAAAGATGGAGGTAACAGTACTGGAGTTGACTTTAAAAAACGGATTCAGCCAGATTTCTATGAGTAGTGAAAGACTGTTGAAATGGATTTGGACTTAACAAGAGTCATATGCAACAACATTTAACATGGATGTATTGTTATAAAGTTTGCCTTTTGTTTGTATATGGCAAAAAATACTTTGCTAAAATGACTGCACATTCAAAAGCACATAAAAAGCCTTTGCCAAGAACCTGTAACATTGATGAAAATGTTTATTGCTTTATTTGTATTAGAGATTAGATTTTTCACAAGTTGTGCCATATACGTTTGAAGTCATGAAAGAGAGAAACAACCCCTTAGTTCATGGTAGTGTAAAGTCAAATTAAACTAAGAAAATATAGGTGGCCGCCAGATACGGGGGGGTCAGAAGAATTTAAAGTATGCGCAGTAAAAACACAGGAAATAAATAAAAGTGTAAGTAGTCCAAAGGCTTAAAAGGCCCAAAAGACTTTAGAAAAATAAGACAAATCTGGTGCTTCAGTGTTTGCATAAACCCAGAGAAACACAAAACAAATAAATAAATTCCAAGCTTTCAAAGTTTAATTTATTTTTCATATTTAAAATAAGATTAAATATAAGTTTAGCTAAAGTGTTCTGGTATTTTCTTTCATTTTGTATAGAGGAAGCATATTGATTTAAATAAAATATATTAAGTGGTAGTTATCTTGCAAAGTATTGGAATGCTTTAAAATGAGTAACTGCTCCATCTGGTACTCAAACATAAAAAATGTTTTATTTTTGTGTTTCGATACAACACGTGACAAAGTGCTTACTTTTTGTAAGTCAACAAGCAGCAAGGAACTGTGAAGTGAATAGTCATATCCTGTGCTATCTGTATGTGTTTTTGGCAAATATGAGTGGCAGCACAACAAGAAACAGAACTTAGAACAAGAAGGGTCTAATATTTTTCAAAACTCTTTTTTCCCTTTCTTTAAAATCCACACTGTCCTATTGAGAATTGTGAAGAGGGTCTGTTTATACTCCAGCCCTTTGCCTTTGCTCTTTCTGTGGGTGGTCTATCCCTTTTTGGACTCTCAGTGTCTTTAAAATGCAAGTTGCAATATTAAATGAATCTGAAAATATTGAGTGTTAGTGACAAATTTGTTTAGAAGTCCTGGTAAGTGTAAAGAAGAAAATAAATACACACATATTCAGACAGATGCTTGTAGTGGATGAAAGTGCATCAAAATAATGATGATAAATGCACAAAAAATAAGAAATAAAAAAGGGACCACTGAAATACACCAAACGTAACTTAAAATATTTGTGTTTTTACGTAATGTACAAAAAAGTCAAGCAAAATCTTTGATCTCAACTTTAAAATACAGAAACTGATAATGCCAGCAGAGGGCAGTGGATCTACATCTACACATTAATGAGAAGGTTTGAGAATTTCCTCATCAAACGCAGCATTTATACAAAACGAACTGTGACTCAAACAGGAAGGTTTCTATTTTACTGGGTCATGCTATTCATCAACAGCAAAAAACATAAAACCACAAGGGCATCTTTTAAACCTACAGTTGGAGCGTGCGCACGCAACAGCAGCATCTCTGCCACACGCCAACTATCAAGTCAAAACTGAGGTAGTTTGGCCAAACAATCCCATTTCTTATCTTGAAAAAAACCTCAAGTGACAAAAAGTCTCTTTGTTGACAGTTTTCACTTCCTCTGGGACGTGGTTCCATGGCAACAAACCCCCACCCTTCCCTTCCTCTGCCTAAAAAAAGAAAAAATCAAAATAAAATAAATCCTCAGGATGAGTTAGGGGGTCAAATGAATTATGCATTAACCCAAGTCCACTCTTAGTTTGACTGACCCCTGGCCAATCTCATTTTCCACCTCATTCACAAAGCTGTCCATGTTCTCTCCAACACAATCTGGAACATGAATCACAGTGGCCTGAACTACGACCTCTTTGCTGAAATGCTTTCATGTGTGGTTCTGGAATCTAATTTCTGATTACACAGGGCATTTATGTGTTAAGCCAAGTATTTTCACTTGACTGTCCCTTTGTCTGAAATAGGCTTTGCGTCACAGTTGCATCTTAAAACCAGCATACAGTCAATGGGATTCAGCAGATGGCAACTGAGCAATAAACATAATCCATCTTACCTCTTTAAAAGGCGGAAATAGTGAGGATATACATTGCCAAAAAGGAAAATAAACACTTTGCTTTTAAAGTAGAAATAAATCAACAGGGTGAAGGTTTACTCATGGTTGTGTTTCTAAAAGTAGAATGACAGAAAGAGCCTTCAGTTATCAGGCTCATTTCTGTGGAATCAGCTCCCATTTTGGTTCCAGGAACCAAACACCCCCTCCACGCTCAAGATTAAACTAAAAATTCCTAGTTGATAAAGTTTAGTGGTTGCTCAGGGAGACCTTAAAACATTCCATAGCCACACTGTTATAAGCCTTGACTGACACCCAAGGTCCATCTCTCCTACTCCCATTAAATATTTGCTGACCTTAACGTTTGATTCTCTTTCCCAGACGCTGACCCTAGCTTGGTGTTATGGTGCATACTGACCCCTCTTTCAGCCAAGAAAAAAACATCTGGCTGTCACATCTGGCCAGATGTGTCTACCTGTTCAAAAGGGAATAGTTGTTTCACCACTATCGTTTACGGCAAGTTAAGTTTTGGAAATTGAATGAAAAATAAGCATGATCTGTTGAAACCACATTGTTTTTACTTTACAGTGATTTGATATTCTTTTGGGCTTTCAAGGGACTGTGCAACCGTCCAATGCTAATGGGGTACCTCCCTCTTTTTAGCATCTGATGTTCAACGTAAATATGTGGTGAGGTTAGAAGGGAAGATTTGTATAATATATCACACACATAATGTAATGATTGAAAAGGCATGACAAACTTGATTTTCCATTTCCAACCAAACACTAAATAATGTCAAAACACTTGAACTATAAAAGATTAACTGGTTAAGATCAACAACTCTAAAAGGGGGGCCCATCTCAGCTTGTGGTACAAAAGTGCGGTGGTAAATCTTAAACTTTCCACGGCTCAGTTTGTCTGTAGGTCACGAAAGAGGCTGATAGACACAGAGCAGAACCTGGAGGCAATGCCTTAAATGTACTAAAAATGAAAATGAGATCCCCTCTGTGTGGGTGGTATGTTTTGCACATCCCTTTAGAAACCTCGCTGTCTTATAATGACTTGTAAAATCTGCTTCTCTCTTTTACGGCAACACTGACAAGAAACATAATAGCAAGTCTCAGACCACATCCACCTTAGACAATTTGTGGATATGCAGAGCAAAAACACTTCACATGGGCCGTTACAAATACATCCCAAATTAAAAAGAATGTGGGACTCAAGTGTAAAGTGAGGAGAAGGCTTATTAATATCCCTTCCAACCCACTATTGTGAGCATCTTCGGCTCTGTTGTCTTCAGTCAGTGATTTTGTAAAAATCCAGCCAAAGTCCTCTCACAGACAGGCTGACAGATGAAATTAACTAAGCTTTTCAAAACTGACTTTTTGGAACATAGCACATAAAGAGGTGTGAATTTTGTAATGATTACACACATATCTCATGTGCTGCATAGATGGTAATTAACACCAGTGCTCTAAACACGTAACAAATTATTTCTCATGTCAGTGAGACAGCTGAGATATTACAGCATATAGTGGCCATTCTCCTTGTTGGCTGAGATTCTCCATAATCCTTGTGGAATCATCAGAAAAAAATTATATAAAAGAAAGGTGTCTTTACATTCCGATTCTTCTTTTCCATTTATATCTCTGAGAGACCTCAGCGGAAATCAGCCTTAACCTTTACAGTGCCACAGTGTCTCTTCTGTGGTGAGCTGAACTTCACTAAAAACCAACCACACTGGAATTAAAAAACTGAACAGCATGGTCATTTGGAAAGAGGAATCATCACATGTATTTGATACACGTCAGAAGGACAGGAAACACGAGTAGTCTGTCAGCAGAAATGTCTATCCAGCTTTCAGCAGCACACTAACTCAAGTAGCCTCTACACTCAACCATCGAAACCACTGAGAAGGAAAACCTTTGATATGCTTTTAAAATGATTGCATTTCAGCCCGCTTCCCATTTGTGGGTTACATGTTGCTGCCAAGACACTGCCTTCTCCACAAACTAGTATCTAATAACGGTGGTGGTCTATCAATTGCCAGTTCATGAAAACTCACCACATTTTAATTTTATTTTTATTTTTATGAAATGCTGCTTGTAAATGTCTTAGCCAAAGACACCAAGGCTGAGTTGTAATGTCCTTACCACACTTAGAATAAACATCTCTATAATATCTGCTGTCTTCACAGTTTATTACAGCAAACCGTCAATCAGTAAATTAAAAAAGGAAATAGAGCATTCTCCGAATATGTGAGCTGATACTAGCTGTTATTAGAATGACAACAAATATGACGTGAATGATGTACAACGATCCTAACTAAGAGTTAGCGGTGGCTAAACAGAAAACATTTATCGTGATATATTGCTGTTTTGGTTGAATTCCATTAAACAGCTGCAATCTAAAAGCCCGGAGGCGCCAGTCATTTAGAGAGGCCATTGGGAAAAAAAAAGAAAAAAAGAAAGAGATTTATTGATCATCATCTTTGAGTGATTGCTGATTAAGTATGCAGACCAACAAAGACATCGTAAAACAAACCCAGCAACATCCTTCTCTGAAAGCGATGCTAGTTCACATCACTTGCAAACAACGGTTTAAGCAAGTTGGCAGAACATCCAAAAGCATTTGACAATTGTGAAAATTCTCAGAACTTTCAGGTTTAAAACAGTTGATTTCATCCAAAAAATGAAGCATCACGAGTGAATTCAAAAGATGAGGGCCACGTCAAAGCCTCACAGCAGAGCTCCTCTCCTGGACTAAAAGGAAATATTGAGAACAGAGACAGTGTTGGACAGAGGAAATGTATTCTCAGTGAGTGCACAAAATCATACTAGTATAGATTTTAATCACGGGTTGCTTAAAGTGGAGCCCCATCTATTCCATCTGGAGAATCATAGAGACACTTTTTCAATACTGCTGTAAAAAAAGGAAAATACACTTTGTATTTTTTGATAATTTGTTACCTTGAAGTCTAAAACACAATTCTGTGCCTTGAAAACAAGTAACAAGTAAGGTAAGGTGATATACATTTAGAAAGACACATGAAGTTGGAACAAAAAGCTGTAAGCATAACTGTAAATCAGGCTATTGGACCATGTACAGCAATCTTTAAATCGTACCACAGATATTCAGTCAGCTTAAGGTTTGGATTTAACGAAGACATTCCGAGGCAATTAAACCTTTCTGCTTAAAAGTCGCCATGCTCAAGGGTCACTGCAGTGTGGAAAATTCTTTTCGAGTTCAAATTCTTTGGAAGACCGAAATAAAAATTCTCAGTCTATTTTGCGCCACCATTTCAATTCGATTTAGTTTAACAGGTCCTGGTTATTACAATCATCCCCAAACATCCTCTCAGGTGGAGGGGGAGGTTTGAGCTAAAGGGAGCATTTCCCTGTTAGCCCAGCAGCTCAGATGTCATCCCCATGAATCCCTATTGTTAAGCATCACCATTAATCGTCCCCAGTATAACTCTTCGTATTTCTATTATCTTTTGACTTTGCGAGTCTGTTTGCTCTTTAAATTCTATAATAATACAAATAATAGATACCGATCTAAACTACATCCATTATTTGTATGTCTAAAGTCTTATAAACCCTAATCTGTTTTTTTTTCCTGAACTGCTGCAGGCCTGTTTACAGAGCTGCTTGTGTTCATTGTCCCTCTTGTTAGATGAAGCATGCTGCTTTGTGACAATGCAGACTTAATAATTTAGGGTTTCAACGCCAGGCGAATGGATACAATATAGTTTTTTTATTGACGACAAAACCCAGGCAGTTTTTCAGCTAAATATCATGTAGGATTCATATCTCAAATTGTAGAGAAATGAAACGTCTCTAACGGAACAACAAATAGTAGTTTTAATCAATAACATCGATATGCAATAAGTTAGCTAATCAAAATAAACATTCAACATAATATACATGCATGTCTCGGATTTGAGAATGCACATTGGCACCAAC